AGTGACTTCTGGAGGGTGTTTGTTCGTTAAGGCCAAAAAAAAAAAGATAAACCTAAAAGCTTTCTCTGTCCTAAATGGAATCGAGAGCTGACCTACATGTCGATATCATTCTGTAAGAATTATGGCGTATTTTTTTTTTGTCTTTTTTTTAAGTTTTCACCTTATGTCATCAAGGTAAACCACCGGTTTGGAACACGCCGCTGTTGAAATAATAAAAATGACCTTTTGGATAAAAACGTCTGGTAAAAAAAAAAAATTAATAAAAAATTGCCGAAGCCGATATCCAATACTCTGAGATGGCAATCAAAATAGAAATGTGGCACGTGCACACGAGTATTATTAGAAATTAGCTTAAAATTGCTCATCTTGACCTTCTTATGACTAAGTTAGTGATAATTTCATGGAATAATAACTTCTATGTCGCTTCTTCTTTTGATGTCCCATTAAGTTTTTGCTGCCGATTCATTGTAGAGATTTCTCAGAAAAACACAATTATAATTATAACAAATTACATTAATTAAAAGATAGGAGAAACTCACTCAAAAGAGGTAATACATACATTAAGCAATTATTGGAGGAGATTGAGCATTGATGCTAAAGCCGAAGACTGAGGTAGATAACTCAGACACGGGGTTTGATAATCTTTGATATCATGCGACAACCGAACTCATCAATTATTTTATTGTAGATTTTTAAAACCTGCAAAAGCTTGCAACTGTTAGAGAAAACTTCACGGACGAAGGGAAGAAGGAGCTAGCAGACTTTAAACTCTTCATCAGAAATTCATCATCATGTCAACTTCACACGCCATACTATACTGCTAGAATGCCATCGACCAATCAGAACTCTTTATAGTAAGTCTAATGTATAATTATTTCTGTTATTTGAAAATTTAACACAATAGGATACTTAAGTTGATGTACATATTTTACACTATACATTTGTAAATTTGTAACTTTTTCAACTGAATTTCTTTACTTTTGTACACTGTAGGTGGTAATTTGCGATTTACTTATTTCGAATTTTTTTCGCTCTTTTTTATATTCGTGTTTGTGCCTTGTTAAGTTTCAACCAAGATATTGTAACTCAGTGTGCAGCGATGGTTGCTTAAGGATTGGTATGATGCCTAGTAAGTTGTTTTTGCTCAAGCATAATATGATTTGCCATATAGAACTAAATTCATTACCATCGACATTGTCATTGTAATTATCTTTATTATTATCATTACCTTTATTGTGAAAAATGATTAAATCCTTATTATTGGCGTCCTTATCACCTTAAACATTTATCTTGAGCGCTTATTACCAATGTTCATCGAACATCAGTGTTAAAATATAAATAAGAGTGATTTATATTTCAGATTTTCGAGTTAAGATGGGATCTGCATATTTAATCGTTTTTGGCTTGTTTTTGATTCCTTTTTTATCCCCTGTGGTGTCGTCACCTGCTGTTGTTATTGTTCAGGCAACATCCTTTGCCAACGAATGTGTAGAGCTTCAAAACCGATCCTTTTCTGTTAGATTAGTCGCTATGGGATCTTAATAGGAACAATACTGAAAAGGTTCTGACACCTCAGAATAGCCATTGATGGTTTATTACCTACAAAATATAAATTCTCTCGTTAAAACTTTGTGAAGTCAAAACAAAGTCAGGGGGAACGCTACTGTATTAATTATTAATTGCCTGTTAAGATAGCTGAATATATCGGATGCAAAACGAGACTAATTGCAAAGACGAATATCGGAAATGATCATCGTCACAATTTCCGTTAACTGTTGAATAAACGTTAGCCATATTCTATCCCATAATTGTCCTCACAAGAATTTGCTTCTATCACCTAGAATAACACCCATACTTGGCATCCTAATTAATGTTAAATCGAACAAAACCAAACAGTCCATATCAATAAGGGGGTAAGCTTCTAAAGAAACTGTGGTGCTGCGTCGGCGGGAGAGTATAACAAGGTAATTTAGCATCATCAACTGAGTTGATAACATAAATTAGCTATCGTCAGAACGAAGGGCTAACGCTCGAAAGGTCAGCTTTGAAAGTCTTTACGGTGGCCAATTCACGTTCTCAACTCAGTTGACAACACTAAATTAACCTGTGAAACCGTTCATACATTTGTTCATCTTTTCCAAAACTTCGTTGATGATATAATTTGTGGGGGATATCTAATTAACTTTTATTGCACTCTGGTAAGCAGGTGTTTAAAGATGCCTATGGGGAGGCCGGTAGCTAATTCG